ATTAGACTGTACAGAAATTGAAATCTACACTATACTCATAGTCACGCAATGCTGATGTTTTTAACATTAATAATCTGAGAATAAAGTATAACAATAATTATAATTTGCACGGTTCGATGTGATTTGAGCTAATCGATCGTTAGATTAAATCACCATTGGTAGCACGATTTATTGTAATGCTTTTTTCCTCAGTTGGTCAGAACAAACGTGGCAAACTTGTTACTTGTTTAGATGGCAATATCCAGTGAAAATTCTTATTTGGGTCATATATTCCAAGACGTAGGCTAGAATCTGTGATTACTAAGTATAGGATTCACACCGGTGCGGTGACTGACTGCTACACATACTCCTCAAAACATTAGATTCATCCGCGCTGGAGCCGTGCCAGAGTACAACCCACACAAGCTAGATAATTCCGCAAGTAACTGCAATTCCAGGTTTTCAAACAGAGATGGCGACAAAGAGGCACAATTTGCGGACTGCAGCGTTATTTAATATAACTCCGATTGTATTCGACTGAAAGAAGAATGTCATATACACCTAGGATGGCTTGAGGGTGAGTAAATCACGGGGTAATTTTCATTTTTGGGTGAACTATCCCTTTAATTTAATCAGTTACGGCAGGATGAGAATGCTGTTTCATGTTGACTTGGGTAGGAAAAAAGCAGCCGGGCAGGTCATACTGGTAGCGCAGGGATTACTTAAAAGCTTCAATCTCCCATTGAACAGAAAAGCTCTTTACCTTTTTTTTAAATGTGTTTTTTCATCATGTTCTTCAGGGATGGGCCAGTTCAACCCTGTGACCATGCAGAACGTGCAGATGTCCCAGTCACCGGTGGGAGCTCCTCGGGCTGTGTCCCCTATGACCCACCCCCCTCAGATGGGCATGGGTACAGTTCCAGCGGTGAGCAACAAGATGCGATTCCAGATTGATTCCATTTTTGGAAGTATTTTTAGTTAGATTTAAATCTTTTCTTAGTTAAATTTAAGTTATTTATAGTCAACATTGTTCTTGAGTTGTGTGCCATTTTGGATTTCCTTCAATAAAAACAAGCTTGTTCACTAAAAAGTTAAATTATCAATAGCTTTATCACTCATGTTGTGCCAAAATTGGTTCTCGGTAGGGCAAAAACAGTCTTGTGGCTCAAATCTAATTTCTCTTCATTCTTTTGCAGAGGGGTATGTCTCCCTCTAGGATGCAGCAGGCACCAGCCATGATGGGAGGCCATGCTAACAACATGGTGGGTCAGACGCCCAACCAGAACCAGTTCATGAACCAGACGCCGTTCCCAGCCTCAGCCGGAGGCATGAATGTGAATGTAAACCTGGCCCAGCAGTCAGGACAGACTGTCCCACAGGTGAGGAGTCAGAAATGTCACATCTTCACTACAGTTTCATTGTTACTTGGGTGTTTGAGACATTTCACCACCACAAATACTTTCTTCCTGTCATAGAGTGCATTAGTGTCCACCCACCTTTTCAGTGGTGTTGGTTCCGGAAGAGTTTTTTACAATAATTTTTTCCATAGAGAGATAAAAAAAAAAAAAAAGAGTTAGAACTAAACCAACCAGCTAAGAGGAGAAACAAACTTGACACAAACTTTTATTTGAAGCAAAAAAGTATTTGAAAATCAAACAAACACAAAGGTACAAGACTGAGTACTTAACGACTTTAAAGAGGAAAAGAACTACAATCCCAAAATAAAAATGGAGAAATATAAAACTATTAATTTGAAGTTTTTATATATAATTTTTTGTTTTTTTTGCTGTCAGAACGCATGCAATTAATTTGTTCAGTTTGACGCAGAAATGCAGTGGCGCGCGCTCTATATCATTTCATATTAAAGCGCAAAAGAAACTACGAGCATGCAATGTCGTAGTTATGTCGTCAGTCAAGTCGTGAAGTTACCAAAAAGGTGATTAAAGCTGCCTTAAAACTGTTCATGTATGTAAGTATTTATGTATGCAGTGGTTTTCAAAACTGTCCTGGAGCAGCAGCACTGTCTCTCTCATCTAACACACCCGATTCAACTCCTCAGCTCATTATAGAGACTTTAAGACCTGAGGTGAGCCAGAAAAGGTAGAGAGTTGTGAGAAAATAGGATGCGTGTCAGATCCGCGTCATGTTCAACAGCAGCAGCTCTTAAAGCAGCCGAAAAAACCTAATAACCAGCTGCTGTGATGCCTGTTAATCAAAGAACAAAAGAAAAAAAAGCAAATCAATCACTTTTGTAGCTTTAAGGATTCATCAAGATTGAATTTAGTGTTTGATAACTTTATTCAATTTCTGTATATTTCCTACTTGCTGAAGGGCATAAGTAAATATGACATTTATTGTGATGGGTTTATGTGAGGATTGTTTTAAGTTCACTTAAATTAAAGGTTGTAATTTTTTAAAGTCTAATATTAAAATTGAAAGCTCTCAATTAGGGCTGGGCGATATGGGCAAAAATTAATCTCTTTATTTTTTGGCCGATTTGCGATATATGGTATATATCTGTATTTTCGTTTCTGTATTTGGATTTTAAAAAACTGTATTTAATATTTATATATTTCACTTACCGCCAAATGTTGTCCAACAAAACAATACATATTAAAGGCTTTGAAAACATATAAATTGAATGTAACCATGTGAGCCTTTGTTATGTGCAAAAAAGGGTTAAAATCACATTTCATGCTAACATTGCAATCTAAAAACAAAAAAAAGGCTTTTAAAGCGAAAGTTAAATTCACTAAACTAAAAATGAAAATAAATGAGAACAAAAGCACAGAGTTGTGTTAGGCTATTTTGATTACCCCATTACAGTCAATTTACAGTCAGTACTATCATAAAAATAGACTTACTTGTAGGTTTAAAATTTTACATGTCACATTTATTGTCCAACTACAAATATTTCAGCGAAATGTATATTTTAGTCAGAATTATTGTGCTCCTATTTCATTGAGCTC